TAGAGCGGTATTTTCCATGCAACACGTGTATAGCTGCATTTTATTACGTGGGTAGTTGAGAAAAACCAATAAAATTGTAGAATGTTGCACTGATAGCATGTAATCTGCGAAATAAACTAGTGGAAAAAATTAAGGGATCAAAAAAAAAATCTAAATTTTCGGAGATTTTTCAAATGCCTGTATCTTTGATAAAAATGGTCGTATTGGAGTAAAAAAAAGCAATTTGAAGCTTGAAGTTTCTAATTTNGGGTATTTTGGTAAAGTTATCGTTAGAGTTTATGTTATAGAGATGTCAGAGAAGGCGTTGTAATGCTTATTTTGTTTTAATTTTAAGAGTGTCTATTTATTCATTAAGGGCTTGTAAAACTATGGGTGAAATCTGCCAGCATTGCCATTGCCATGGCGTGGTGGTAAAAGTTGGCCAACTTTGCAATATAAAATGCGTATGAAACAGAATGTGGTTTGATGAAAAAACAGTAAAATGTGCAAACCGAGAATCCATATGATAAGTATCAAGAAGCTCAGTGTATGATAGTGAGACGTCAAATTGAAATTTATTTTTTCGACGAATAATTTTTATAATCGAGCTATTCAAATGCAGCGCGTCAGCCGAAGCGTTAAATACAGAGTACAGTGTTGCCATATTTCCTTTCATTGGATCAGATGTTTGTTCAAATTTGTCAAAACGTTGTATATTCATTCCATTATCTCAATAATTACATTGTAAGTGCATATTTTTATTGTTTTAAAATGTTTAGTAATATTTAATTCTTTAATTGCAATTTTATTTTCCCGATCCTAACCATGTTTAAGAGCAATATTCACGTTTGATTAAAGTTCTTTCCCCAACTCCCATAAGAGCCTGTGTATAAGAACATAATTTTTAATATCATTTTTCAAAAAAAACTATATTGGCAATCGATCTGATATTTTTACACGAGACAGTTGGCATGTTTATTAACAGGTTTCAATGATTTTGAAAACTTTTTTACCATTTTTTTCGGTATCGAACCTCCTTAAGACCAATGTCCAAAATTTTATGAGCAGCAGTGTCGTAGAGACGGGGTCAACGTGACCCTTTTTTAAAAATATTTTCTACGCCACTGCTAATTTTGTCAAATGGTGTAAAGTGTTCAATTGTCCATCGAATTGGTTTCTTGCAAAATTTTGTTTAAAGCTACAGTTCTTGAGTAATTTAGGTTTCAACTAATTCTGTCAGAATGAAATAACGTAAACAATAAACAACAAAGTTAAGGGTGAAAATGTAATGATAAAAATTGTATAACTTGAAATAATGTAAAATATCAGAGTAGGTGCTGGAAATGACCACCTCGCGATTCGACACACGTTTCTACCCTCCGAGCTAAGGATCTTCTTAGTCTTTCAAATATCTCGGGCGTATTACGAATTGTTTGAAAGGCTTGTTGAATTCGTTGCCATAATTCATCAATCGAATTTACTGGAGTTACATAAATCAGCTCCTTAATATGACCCCAACTGTGGAAATCCAGAGGATTTAAGTCCGGTGAACGGGCGAGCCACTGGATTGGACCACCACGTCCAATCTACCGTCTAGGGTAGGGTATGTCATATTTAAATAATATCTTACGTGTCGAGCGAAATATGCCGGAGCGCCGTCTTGACAGAACCCTCCGCACATCCAGTGGTACTTCATCTAACAAGCTGTTCAAATTATTCATTAAAAAATTAAGGTAAGACTGGCCATCTAGCCTATTTGGTAGCCTAAAAGGACCAATGAGCGTGTCGCCAACGAACGTTAATGGAAAACTCATACTAAAAATTTGTTATTCGAATGACGTGAGGATTTTCGTCGCTCCATAAATGATTATTGTGTTAATTATTCCCCGTCTCGTAAACGATGTGAATAAGATATTCGCGGAAAAATTGGGATTCTCTGCAAGCCTTCCAAGCAGTCATCGTGACCACTCTAGTCTTGGTGGGTAATCTTGAGGTAGTAAATGTTGAACACGTTGAAAATNCACACGTTTCTACCCTCCGAGCTAAGGATCTTCTTATTCTTTCAAATATCCCGGGCGTATTACGAATTGTTTGAAAGGCTTGTTGAATTCGTTGCAATAATTCATCAATCGAATTTACTGGAGTTACGTAAATCAGCTCCTTAACATGACCCCAAGTGTGGAAATCCAAAGGATTTAAGTCCGGTGAACGGACGGGCCACTGGATTGGACCACCACGTCCAATCCACTGTCTAGGGTAGGGTATGTCATATTTAAATAATCTCTTACGTGTCGAGCGAAATATGCCGGAGCGGCGTCATGATAGAACCAAAGGCTCCGCACATCCAGTGGTACTTCTTAGATTGTTAGATCAAGCTGTTCAAATTATTCATTAAAAAATTAAGGTAAGACTGGCCATCTAGCCTATTTGGTAGCCTAAAAGAACCAATGAGCGTGACGCCAACGAACGTTAATGGAAAACTCATGCTAAAAATTTGTTATTCGAATGACGTGAGGATTTTCGTCGCTCCATAAATGATTATTGTGGAAGTTAATTATTCCCCGTCTCGTAAACGATGTGAATAAGATATTCGCGGAAAAATTGGGATTCTCTGCAAGCCTTCCAAGCAGCCATCGTGACCACTCTAGTCTTGGTGGGTAATCTTGAGGTAGTAAATGTTGAACACGCTGAAAGTGATAAGGGTGCAATNTAAATGATTATTGTGTTAATTATTCCCCGTCTCGTAAACGATGTGAATAAGATATTCGCGGAAAAATTGGGATTCTCTGCAAGCCTTCCAAGCAGTCATCGTGACCACTCTAGTCTTGGTGGGTAATCTTGAGGTAGTAAATGTTGAACACGTTGAAAGTGATAAGGGTGTAATTGTTGTTCGCGAAGTGTTCTCCAAACAGATGACTATGGCTTGTTTAAATTTCTAGAAATTTGTCAGGTACTTAAAATTATTATTTTCTATTGCTGTCAGGACCATTTCCTCAGATTCCGGAGTTCTAGCATAACGCCGTCGTCCAGCATTAATTTTTATTGCTTTTATTTTACCCGTTTCTCTTAATCTTCTATCGATATTATCAAACATTTGCCGATTTGGTGTTCATGGTGCAGGAAACATTTCTCTGTACGGCCTAACTGCATCACGGGAAACAAAATTCGCTAGCCCATAATATAGATGCATATCTGTCATCTCTTCAAATGAATATTCGTAATTCATACTGTTATTGAAAATAGTGAAGTAGCTGAAGTAATTTAAATAACTGTAAAAATGACAAAAAGAAGCTTATAAGCTGGTTTACTTAACTCACTTGTACACTTATTATTATTGACATTAGTGACAGCCGATGTTTAATTTTATTTTGAATACCACAAGCCTACTATGCGAAACTAAAATGAATGAAAATAAAATTGGGTTCACAAATTTTCTACAAACGTGTTTTTCTTAAAAATGGTTGCTTTAATCAAAATTTTGCAAGTGACCAATTCGATAGACAATTGAACACTTTACACGAAAATAGTGCCCGTTTGACAAAATTAGCAGTGGCGTAGAAAATATTTTTAAAAAAGGGTCACGTTGACCCCGTCTCTACGACACTGCTGTTCATAAAATTTTGAGCAGTACATCAAACATTGGTCTTAAGGAGGTTCGATACCGAAAAAAAAATGGTAAGAAAGTTTCGCAACTGAAACAATTAAGAAAATTAAAATAATAAAAAAACTACCTACTTTAAAAAATTAAATACTAACAAATCAGAATTTACAAAACAACGATTAAATATAAATCAAACTAACCATAAAAAGGGTAAGAAAATATTATTATATGGTGATGCATAGTATTTGCTAGTACGACCATTTATGTTCATGTTTGAGTAAATGTTCAAAGTAATCATCATTTACTTCAATGCATTTTCCCCATAGTTTTAAAAATTTTGTCCTAACATATTAATTGTGTCCCGGTTAAATCCGGTTTACGAGGTGGCCATGGATTGTCACTGCCTCGTCCACACTATCAGTTGGTTAAAACAGTATTCAGAAAATTCCAAACTTCCATAAGAATAAAAATGCGACGAAATACAAAGAAATAAATAAGATAAACACCACATGTCGTATAACTAGGTTATAGTGACACAAATAAAACTGACGTTGATGTAAAACATAGTGTAAGAACATTTCGTACTATTTGGCGGATAGATACTGATATTTGGGTTTTCTCCAATTAACTATATCTATTTCTTCTTCTTGTCTAACTGCTAGTCGATAATTTCGATTACAAGAACTGTACCTCGTTCGTTAAAATTTTGTTGAGATTAAACCAAAATAATCTCTGTATACTCTTATACAAATTTTTATGAAGCATTTTTGTTAAATGTGCTTTATTTACTTTAGAATTATTATTAAAAAAAAATCAAAAAAAGCTAAAAATTTGGAACAAGCATATCAAATTATTAACTATAAAATTCGTCTCTAGGAGACCTAAGGTAGACAATTTTTTATGGTTACTTGTAATGCTAATACAAAGTTAATCCCTTTTTTCTCGAAAATGTATGCTCGTATTTTATTCGTAGAAGACTAAGAAGGGCCAATTTTAATAATAGATATCACATGAGGCCCAAAAATAAGGTTTCATACCAAATTTCAATTTCTCATTATGATAAATTCCCGTAGACCGAATTTGTTCCAAATCTACTATGTATTAAAAAATATTGAGAAAAAACTATTTTTTTCATCTGTAACCCCCTGTATGTTTTTTTTTTATATTTTGCAGATACAAGTCAACAAAGAGTTTCGAAAATGTCATCTAATATAACAACCATTAAGTCAATTAAAAAATATGAAAATATGTGTTTATGGTGTTGTCATGTCAAATCAAAAACATTAGTTCTACAGCAAGAGTATTAATCAACTTTAAAGTTTAGCACTCTTCAAGCTTTTTAAGGAAAATTCGGTATGTCCTGATATTTAAAAACTTACTGTAACACGGCAGCACATTGTAGAACGAAATAGACTTACATTTACTATCCTTCACAGTGGAAATGTTGGCACATTGAAGCTGAAAATTAAAAAAAAAACAATTGTAGCTATATTTCATACTAAATGTCTTATCCTGGGAAAGAAAGTAACGAAAGATATGTCGTCAATGACTGGAAAAGAGACCTGCAACAAATAAAGTGCTCTTAAAAAATTTGTGATATAAAATAATGATAAAGATATTTAGACATTTTACATATCCCTTAATACTTTATACTTTTTCTATACCTAAGTCTATCAAAAAATTCCTGGAATTCGACGTAAGAATAATTTACGCAGCAATTAATGTTTACTGATAGAAGATACAATAATATCCAAAGGGTGACATCGAAAACTTAGTTCTTTTTCAAGGAGCTGATAATATGAACGTCAAAATACTACGATAGATTCGATAACCATCAATACCGGGATTACGCCAATGCTTATGCAGTGCCTTTTACTTTATTCTGTTTTTCAAGTTACCATTAGAGACTGTATATACAACTGTTTCACTTAAGCTTATTTCCTTTTTCCCTAAAAAAAAATATCTAGAAGTAGTGTGGGTATGTAACATCTGACGGATTAATTTCTTGAAAAGTTGACATGAACCATATAATTTACAATAATCGACTAGTAGTGATACTAGTCCTTACACTAGCTATGATGATGATGATGATTGTTGATAATTTCTGAAATAATTTTGAAAAAAGACATATGTTTCCTTCAGAAGGTACACGTAATTCTTTCCTGTACTATTACATACTGGGTGACACAAATGGTGACCAAAAATAAAAGTTTTTCTCTAAAAAGCTTTGTTAAAAAGATAGAGGGTATTAAGTTTTACTCGAAAATCAAGCTTTTTTCGAAAAACATAAGAGAATAGTAATTTGTAGAAAATTGAAAGACGAATCCGAAAATATCATGGTTGTTACCGTAAAGCAGTGGCGTACTATTTTATTTAGAAAAATATACCACCGATACCCTCTATCTCCGCCACTGGAGCATGTAAATTTTAGGAAAAGCCCTCAGATTTTGGACAATGTTTACATAAATACATGTACCCAATTTCAAATTATTGCACGCACTAGTTTTTAAATTATCTAAAAAAAATTAAAAATATTTTTTGAAGTTTAAAATCCTGTATCTTTTTAACGAAGCATCCTAGATAAAAACTTTATAGAAAAGATTCCCATTAAAATTCTCCAAAGAATACGAGGTTTCATATTTGGTCGCCATTTGTGAATCATTCTGTGTATTGCTTTTTTATGTTTTTCAACGATTTATTTTTAAATCATTTAAAAATAATATCCTAAGTATCATATTCGATTGACTTCTCTAAGGGCATTCAATTAATATACAGGGTGATTCACAACTTATCCAAAAAAATTTGGGAATAGATGCGGCATGAGAAATGGAGTCAATATCGTAGAAAAAAATTGTGTAAAATCCTTATAGTTTCCGAGAAAAAAATTATTGAAGTTATAGTACATTCAACCACTACATAGCTGGACAACTGTAGTCTCTAGCGTCATTCACAATACGCGTGGAGAGCCACGTGGCCTCAGCGACTCCGAATACTGAAATCCGATTTTGCAATCGTCGTTGCGATAGTGTTTACCTGTTATCTGTGGTGTTTAGAATAGTTTTTTAGTAGTTAGTGTCAAAAATGGTTTTCGTGTATATAACTCGGAGTTGATGGATATCGTTTTATTTTATGGTGAAGCAAGACAACATTTGTATTATGGTGAAGCATTTGTGTTATGGTGAAACAAGACAGCGTTTGTGTTAGTTCGTGGAAACTGAGTAATACGGCCCCAAAAGTGTTTACACGTTGGTGGATAAAATTTTGAACAATTGTTGTTGTAACATCGGGTATGTCAAATGATTTTATTATTTAAAAACACAAATTAATTTTATTAATTAATAATAATAATAATAAAGGCAAAAGCAGTTGAATTTGCCGATATAAAATAGATGCTATAAAATTCTATTTATTTATTTCCTTGCTAAAGTTTTTTGTCCGTTTTTATCACATCGCCATGCCAGTCGCATTGTGCGAGGTCAGGTTTTACAGTGGACCAGTTTCCAGTGCCGTGCAGAGGTGTATCTTTAAATCATTTTCGAACTGCCCTCTTTGATTTTTTTTTCTTTACAAAATTGTATTTGTAAGAGTCCCCTATACATCCAGAATTTTTTTTTTTGATAAGTTCTGAATCACCGTGTATAGTGTTCTTAAACAACTTATTTTTACCCGATTTTAATACAACAACTTAATTTATTTATGAGAGATTTTTTTAAAGGAATAAGAATAATGGAAATAGAATTAGTACTACATACTTACTAAAACCAAATTATTACTATTTGCTAGATGAGTGAATAATTCTTCTATTAAAGAATATAAGGTAGGTATATTATTTACGCTTTTCTGGAAAGAATATCCAAACACCACCATACACTAACATCGTTACAAATTCAGAAGAATTTTGTGTCAAATCACGTTTTTGTGTAAAAAAATTTTGAAATTTTGAAAAATTTAGCACTCAAAGATCCGTAGTCTTTGTTCGATATTTTCACAGCTACTGAAAAAGAAATTAAATATTTTTCGATAGAAAGTACAGATTAACATTTTAAGAAGTAAAATCGAATTGGTACATTGAAAATGCATTAAATGATAAAAAAGTTAATATTTTTACAAGCAAAAAGAGAATATTGTCAAGATTAAAGGGTTGGCATATATCATCCTGTAGTGCTATTAATTTTTTTAATTACTGATCAGTGTAAGATTAGAGAGTACAGAGTTATTTAGATTGATATTACAAGTTCGTGTTCCGACATAGCGGCATGCATTTTTTTTATATATCTCTTGTACCACGGCAAAATTCACTGTTTTCCTTATAAGATAATATTTATCGATACGTGTAACAAAAATCAGATAAAATTATTTCTGTAGTGGTACATGTCTTATGTCTTATCTTGTATTTTTAAACTGGTTACGAAGAAAGTGTTTTTAAGTAAAATACTTTTTGAATATATTTTACCTTAACGTCAAAGAATTTACAGACTCTGTATTTTTTCATCAAATTTTATTTCGATTTACTCATAATGATGAAATATCCCTCCATCATTTACCATCTTATAATCACTATTAGTTTCCTATTTCGCCACATTTAATTGTTCGGTATTGCTAAGGTATGTTTTGATGAACTTTTATCGTTTTCATCAGATCTAAGTTAAAATAATAATTATACCCACAACGTTTATCATATTTTTATATATTATTCTTCTCGTTAATTCTTATAAATGATTGCTAACTATTGATTAGATTACCATCTACATGATTTTTAAAATCGAAGTCTGGAAAAAACGTATATCACTTATCACCAATATTTACTAAAAAATATTGTAAAACTTACGTAGTAACTTTTTGAGTTGAATATGAAATAAATTATACATTTCTAGTCATCTATTCTAACTTTATTATAGAGATATTAAGCTAATTCAAATAATTTTTTTTTTCTAAAAATTCTTAGGAAATGAGGTCAAACAATGTTAAAACAAGATGATTCTAGTGAAGAAAAATCTGCTCTTTCTAAAAGTGAACAGAATTATACAATACCCTTTCGAGATGTTTGATTTCAAAAATGGGTCATATTTGGCTTTTTGATATTTTACAAGTTTGTCGTCAAATAGTTTCTCAAATATTTTAGCCATTACTGTCATATTACTGCAGTCTCACGGAACTGGTTAGTCTACCAGTGAATTAGATTGTTACTAATGCATTTTGTTCTATAGTTATGTGTTGTCAAAATATGGCACAAACATAGTCCAACGTGATTTTTGGACCACTTTGAGATTAAATTGTGAATCAAGTATTATTTTTTGAACACACACTAATTTTTTCCTGCTTACCTGAAACAGTTGTTCTAGTATGTCGGATTTCAGCAAAATGCTACCCACCATACTCATGAGCTATGAGAGCGTTTGGAATTTTCCAGAATAGTCTAGTGATGCGGCGCAATCAGTAAGACCTCCAGTTAAAAGGACATGCCTGCCCCAAATATTAAATATCTGGAGCTAAAACTTTACAGAACTTCCCTCCAAATGTGTATACACATCTACACCAACTTTCAGCAAAATTCGGGATGGTCGAGTAAGGACGAAATTCTAAACAATGCCACTTGACGTGAAATAACTCTTGTACGAAAATGACTGTCCATAATACAATTTTAAAGGAGTTAAAATTCTTGTTTTTTAAATTAATCTTGGAGGATTTGCCTTCAAAACTTGAATTATTCAGTAAGTGCACCCCTACCAAAGTCCATGAAGATATAAAAAATTTTGTGTGTGTGAGCAAAAAAACTTTCTAGAAACTATTATAGTTTACCAGGTTACAATAGGTTATCTCCTTAGGGTAGATACTATTACATAAGCAAAATGATTTTTTTCTAAAATTTAACCCCTTGTAACCCAGAACTAAGGCCGTTTATAAATAAAAAAAATACATTAAATGAATAGAGCTTTCCTTTTTTTATTTTAGTGTCAGCTTAAACAAATATAATGTCGGTGTGGTTCAGAATCAGAATTTTTAAATAAGCATATCTTGTAAAGCATTACACATAATTGATTCTTTCTAGGGGATATTATTTTTTATGTAAAAGATCAAATAATATGCTATTCTGTCAACCTGAGCTTCTGTTAGCATCAGTCAGCAGAAGCGTTTGCGATTCTTCCACTGACACGCAAGGGAAAATGTAATAAAACCATTTCTTAAACTTGAATTTGCTGTTAGACGTCCTAGATAACTGAACGGACTTGTTACATTTATCTTCGTCATAAAAATACAACACTTCCACTTCGCAAGATGTTACGTTCCTGCTGCGTACATTACTGACCTCATTTGTGTCTTCTTCGAACTTGATGACTTTTCGTCTTTCCTCCAGACACCTCTTCGAATGCTTGGAAAACAATTTGGAGCTCTTGGTAAGGTCCTCCAAAATTTTCTTACGTTGCAGATATTTCTGTAACTGTCTTTTGCTGTCGCTTGTGCTCAAACAAAGCTTCTTACTGTTGAGCTTGTATGGAATACTGAAAAGAGAATAAATCGTGGCTACTTTGGCACTGTGCAAGGTGTTGTTGCTTTTATTGAAATCTCGGTGGAGTGTAGTTTCAGGGTGACAGGTCTTAAATTTTAATCTGCCTATGACCTCGTAACTTCCTGATCTATCGTCTACTGGGTTTCTTTGGGGGTTCTTCATTTTTCTGTACCTAAAATATATTCGAATTTTAATGCACCTAGCCTCCACTGTACAAGATGTTCTACAAGTTTTATGTACTCCAGTCATTCTGTCCAAAAATAAAGTGAAGAAAAGAAAGTGAACCGGTAAAGCCAATTTTTTTATATATTGTGGGGGGTGCTTAAAAAAGCTTAACTTGAGATTTGAGACCAAGATTTCCTATGTGCATTTTCCGCCATCTTGGAAAAAGTGGTGAATATTTGTTTTTACTATAACTCGGTTCCCCGTCGAGATACAGAATTGTAGTTTTATTGTTTTTTGTTCCTCTTTCGACGACCTACAATTTAGGTCCTATAAACTTTTCACCTATTATTGTTAGTTGTTGAAATATCGAATAAAATTGATAAAAATTCAAAGATTCGATCTGGTTTTTCGGATTTTTCTCTTTTTCCTTAATACTTATCGAAAACATGTCTATTAGAAAACTTGTAGGGGGTGTTTGTACGAACAATTTGGTGTCTTTGTTTTTTTTTCGAAGTTTCGATTTTTCCGTCCACGCGCCGCCAACTTGAAGAAAGCGGTAAATTATGGTTTTCGCGACAACTGGGTTCTCCGTCGAGATAGAGATTTGTTATTTTGTTATTTTTTGTTTCTCTTCGGACGATCTACAATTTAAGTCCTATAAACTTTTCACCTATCATTATTACTTGTTGAGATATATAACAAAATAGATAAAAATTCAAAGATTCGATCTGTTTTTTCGGGGTTTTCTCTTTGTCCTTAATACTTATCGAAAAAATATATATTATCAAACTTGTAGAAGATATTTGTACGAACAATTTAATACTTTTGTCCTTTGTCTAGAGTCTAGGGTAATAATTGCGGTTTCTATCGTGTCGCGAAGTCGACAAGTCCGTGCGAAGTTTTTATTTTATAGCTCGCGCAGTTTTATAGGTACGTTGTAATAGATTCGAAATAAAGAACTAACACAGTGAGATTATGTTTCACACGTATGAAATTTATTATATAAAAATTTTTTCGTATTGAAGAAGTATCTACGTCTTCCTTAGCTTCGACGGCCCTGTTTCACAGTCCCTCTGTTGACTTTTCGATACGTGGAGATTCTTCGACCATATTTTCTCCGACTGTTGAATCATCTTCGGAATCTAATTCGTTGTCACAGATCAGGACATCGACTTTTGCATCGTTTTTGCATGTTTGTCCACTGCAGTTCAGACAAATGATTGAACATGCAATGCCAACTCTTCTGTACCCACAAGCAGTTCCGAATTTTTTCGATATCTCAACAACTAACAATAATAGGTGAAAAGTGTATAGAACCTAAATTGTAGATCGTCGAAAGAGGAACAAAAAACAACAAAACAACAATTCTGTACTTGACGGAGAACCGAGTTATAGCAAAAACAAAAATTCACCCCTTTTTCCAAGATAGCGGAAAATGCACATAGGAAATCTTGGTCTCAAATCTCAAGTTAAGCTTTTCTAAGCACCCCCCGCAACATATAAAAATTTTGGCTTTCCCGGTTCACTTTCTTTTCCAAATGTACAGAATGATTGGACTAATGATAAACTTTGACACATGGTAGCTTAGTTAATTTCAAACATTTTTTCTTATATGGACATATGTATGATTCGTTTTTGTTTAGAAGTTACATATAAGCATTTCAAAAATATATAATAATATATTTCAAAGTAAACCAAATTAACGAATCATAAGGCTATAAAAATTGTTCAAATGTCCACTCTCAGCCCCATTCCGTCACTCGACGAATGATATTTGAATCATTTCTTATCTTTCAAGTAACCGCTGACAGATAGTCATTTCAACATGGTAGACAAGCTGCTTGATATATTCCCATAAATAAAAGTCCAAAGGATTTAGATCTGGGGAACGCGGTGACCATGCTACAGGACCTTGTTGACTTATCTATTTATTTGGGAAATGATCATTTAACCAAGTAGTTATAGTAGGATCATATTCGATGCAAAGTAATAAATCATTGCCTGTCAAGGGAATCAGTGCAACATGTTTTAGGGGGTTTTGGAAATTGAATAATTTCTTTATGCATTATGGATTAATAGTTATATATTTATGAAGGACAAAATGAAAAACAAAAGCATCTCCTTCGCACATTGGGCGGCAGGGCAACAATACATTTATTACTCCCTTCATCCTCCCTCATATGACTTGTGTCTTGTGTTTGATGCGGCGGCGCGCGTGCCGCCCCGTGAGTTTCGTTTCGGTTGTATTGGT